CATACAGAAATAAATGTGATAACTATGTGAATTTAAGGACCTCCAATACAATAAGTGTCCTTAACCATTTTATTTACACATTAGCCAACATAATTTTAGGTTTAGGCACTGGCATCAGAATCTAAACCCACTAGTAAGGGGTGAATGAACTCTCACCCAACTTCATATCCATTTGAAAGAGAAAGTTTTGGAAAAGTTTCAAATCGTTTGGCATGCAGGCACATGAAAAACTAGTGAAAGAGGCTTCCACTGTACAATTATGTATTTGAAAGGAGTGATCCTTATGCTTTAAAGGCAGTGACATCTTATCTGTCACGTGTCACCATGAAAAGATATTTAAAAAGAAAACAGGAAATGATGTGTTGCTGCCTCGAGGAAGATGATTAACAGCTCGGCTAATCATCTGGTTGCTGGGAGTCCATGTTGCAAATTAAAAAGGACATTTTATAGCACTCTCTGATCTTGCTTGGCAACATGGGAATTTTATTAACTGAACTTTTACCGATTTATCAACCAAGGTTACTTAAAACATCAAACGATGTTGCGCCAAACAGGATCAGTGTACTGTGGCTTATTTGCACCTGCAATAGGATTTTTTTGGGTACATATTTTAATCCTAAAATGGGTTTTGAAACAAATCTGTGAAATTTCTTTGGCTCTTAAGTTTCAGTGATCTAAGGGTGAAGATGTTGGCTTGTGACTGGAGTGCCCCTCCCCAACTCTGAGCCCGTGGAAGTGTCTGAGTAAAACTCTTCTGCTTCTCCAGCACACCTCTGGTGGTGCCCTTGACAAAAGCACTTAACCCCACCTGCTCCAGCTGAGCTGCACTGTAGCTGTATCGAGTAACTCCCCGGAGTCACTTTGTGTAATTGAATGAGGGTGAAATGGGTGGTATTGAAAAAAGTGTTCCCAGTGGTCTTTGGCTAAATTTGGTTTGGAAAAAAAACACTGGATGATGAGGCTGTGCTTTGTTGTGAACAATTTTGAACAGCTTTTCAGGCTTTTTATCTTTTTAGGAGTAAATGCATGATATTTAACAAGAATCCTCAGTGTACTTGAGTTGTGCTCTTCTTAGTCTGTAACACAAAGCTAATACTTTATCTGTTAACTTAACAAAGCATCTGTGCTTGTATCTGTATTCAGATTTAATCTTCAAAGTGTTTAAAATGTTCTATACTGTTGAATGTGCTTTGAAGTAAATACTAACGTCAGCAACCTAATGAGCTCACAGTGACAATGCCAACATGCTGATGGTACACAGGTATAACGTTAGTTTATTGCGTTGTGTTAACATTTACTTATTAGCACTAAACACAAAGCACAGCTGAGTCTGAATGCCATTTGTTTTGCAGGTGTTTGGTCTTAAACCAAAGTATTGGACATCTTAAAAATCTGACCTGATGATGGCAGTACATGAAAAGCTAGCAGATCAACAAAAGGTATTACAATTCATCCAGGGGAATTTGAATGTGTGTACAAAATGTCATGGCAATCCATCTAACTGTTGCTGCTAGTGGCACTATCATGACTAAAACTAAACTAAACTAAACTAAGAAAGCTGCTGTCCTGGCCATTTTACATGCAATTTTTAGATGGTCCCTAAGTTCAGCTTGTTAAGTTTAATGTTTAAATTTCAAAGTTCAACTCTTCATTTTGTTTTGTTTTGTTTTTATACCTTTTTAAATGCATTCTTCATCTCATAAGGTCAATTGTTTTGGTAAATAAACACAATATACTATAAAATACTATAAAACAGAATAAATAAACAGTTTTTTATTCACATTGTATGCTTTTGTTTCCAACCATACAGTAATTGTAGACGGAGTAACTAGCTGTATAGCATCAGTTGTCTAACTGCCTTGCTAATGGACTGAAACGCAGCTTGAATCATGCTGTCTGTCATACTGACTGACATGACTGATACTTTGTGTGATTGGTTGAATGACCATCTGACAGAGCAGCTAACTGACTGACTGGCTGACTGGCTAAACAACCAAGTATCTGAGGGAGTGACTGTCTGTGAGGAGGGCTGATTGACTGTCCATCTACTCTTAATACAAGGTAAGCAGCCATGTGTGTCCGTGCCAAGAGCAGGTTGAGTGACCAGCGGGCTAATAGCATGACCTCGTACGTAACGCTAACAGGAGAGGAGGTGGGAAGAGAGTTGGAGATGGTGACTGAAAGAGACTGAAGATATGCATGAAGAGAAAGGAAAGGTGTTTTTTATACACAGAGAAAATGAGTGAAAAAACAGAAATGTAGGCAAAAAGTGCTGTCATGGTCTGTGGCCATTCAAGTAGAAGACCTTGCAGACAGGGCCTCACACTTATATTAAAGGACAAAGAGGAGAGCTTGGTGAGAAAGAGAGAGAGAGAGGCAGTAAAATGGACAAGATCAGTCCTTCAAGAAGTAGAAGTAGAGAGTGAAGGAAGAAAAAGAGGCAAATTTAGAGGGAAGAAGGAGAGCTGTGGTAGAGAAGTTTTAGGTGTCGTGTAGGTGTAATAGTGAAAAAGAATGCCTCTATGTCCCTTTAGGCAACAAAAAATCTGGATTGTGGCTGTGGTCTAGTTTTGGCATGTGTATGAATGCAATTGTGTGTGGACGTAAGTGTGTGCACCAATTCATTTTTTTGTGATTGTTCTACGTTTGTGTATGAGTGTCTGTTTCCTTGTCCCCTTGGGCAAAACTGAGTTTCCTAGAGGGCATAAGCGATGATGACAACTGCTAAACTCTCTTGTGGTGTTACCATGATAATGACATCCCTGACGTTGCACTTTTGCCTGAGAAATGGCCTTAAACCATAAACTCAGATAGGTAGCAGGAAGGGATCCAAGGAGGTACTACATAGCTGTATGTGCACTTGCATACAAACATTTCAAATAAAACAATGACAGATTTTTTAAACCTAAATCAGAAACTTGCTTGTGAATAATTACAGCAATTGAGGAAAAACCATGATCAATATGATCAAGGATATTAAACCTGCAACAAGCTCAGCGGCTAACAAGGTGGATGGACAGATAACAGATGCAGTCTCACTGCTGGACACTGTGTCCTTTTTTTCATGTTTTCCTTAATGTATTTATGGTTTTGGATTATTTTAAGGGTCCTCTTTAGCAGCTTCTCTTAATTTTGCTGAGGTGATGGCCCCCTCAGATATATATATATATAATTAAATTATGTATAGATAGATAGATAGATAGAAACTTTATTGATCCCTGAGGGGAAATTGCGGTGTTGCAGCAGCAAAATTGACACAGAATACAAAAAATACAGACCAGATATATTTACATAAACTAACATAACATATAATGTACAAAATGTCTTTTAAAAATATATTTACAATGTATATTTACAGATATGAGATTTATACACAAGCGCAACTGTGTGTATATTCAGGATGTGCAATTTAGTATCACTTGCAAATATTGAGAGTGTTGAGTATGATGTTTAACTATAATGTAATGTCCTTTATCAATCACATGTAATTTAGTCTCCTCTCCCTGCACAGAGGAGAGTTGTTATGTATTCTGATAGCAGTGGGTAGGAATGACTTCCTGTAACGGTCCTTGCTACAGTGGAGTTGTAGGAGTCTCCAGCTGAATGCACTCTGCTGCCCGACCAGCAGGTTGTGCAGCGGATGTGAAGTGTTGTCCATGATGCTGAATAGTTTGTGTAACATTCTTCTCTCTACAACCAACTCCAGGGGCTCCAGAGCAGACCCCAGCATAGAGCCAGCCTTCTTTATTAGCTTGTTCAGTCTCTTGCTGTCACTGGCTCTGATGCTGCTGCCCCAGCAGATGGCTGCAAAGAGAATAGCGCTTTCGACAACAGACTGATAGAACATATACAGCATCCTACTGCATACATTAAAGGACCTAAGCTTCCTCCTCAGTGTTGTACTTCCAGTCCAGTCTGTTGTCAAGGTGCACACCCAGGTATGAAAAGTTCTCAACCACCTCCACTTCCTCTCCCAGAAGGTGAATGGTGTTGTTGTCCTGGTCCTCCTAAAGTCCACCACCATCTCCTTCATGTTTGTCACGTTTAGGAGGAGGTAGTTGTTCCTACACTACAACACAACGCGGTCAACCAGATCCCTGTACTCAGTCTCATCTCCACCGTTGATACACCCAACAACTGTTGAGTCATCCGGGTATTTTTGGAGATGACAGGACTTAGTTGTGCTGGACATCTGAGGTGTACAGCATGAAGAGAAATGGTGAGAGAACAGTCCCCTGTGGTGCTCCTGTGCTGCTGACCACCCGTTCAGACACACCACCCCGCAGTCGCACAAACTGTGGTCTGTCTGTCAGGTAGTCCGTAATCCAGGAAGTTGTGGAGGTGTCCGCCTGCATCTTCTGGAGCTTCTCCCGCAGCAGTAAAGGCTGGATCGTGTTAAAAGCACTGGAGAAATCAAAGAACATGATCCTCACAATGCTGCGAGCTTTATCCAGGTATGAATATATATGTATATATATATATATATATATATATATATATATATATATATATATATATATATATATATATATATAAAATTAAATTATATAATTATTTTTCACATTTGTTGTAAGGTAAAAACAACACTATATCAGAATAGATATTGGACAATTCTGCAAAACCCTGGATTACATTCAATTACAACATTTAACTGAGGTTCTGTAATGGGGCACAAACTCCAATGCCCTGCACAAAAGTCAGATACGTTACACAAACACACACTTATTTATTGCTTTGCTGCATGACAGACATGCTACTTCCTGCACTGACACTGGGAAATTGGAACTGGATGTAAATCCTGCTCTGTAGATTCATAATGTTATTCCTAGCAATACTGTGCTGTTAAACTGCACGCACGTCATTGTATCAAAATCCCTGCTTTTCAGTGCAACAGCTGGTGATGCTCATATATCCATGAAATGCCAACTTTTGACTGGCAATACAAAGACAGGGATGTAATGGGTGTGACGCATGAAGAATCCACTATAAAACAACTGGAGTTAGAGAACAGAACATTTTAATCCAAAATATCATCAGTAAATGTCAGGGTTCAGTGTCAGGTCGCTTGAATCAAAGAGCCTCATTCTGCCAATTTGCACATGCAGCAAACAAACAGGCAGAGATCCATGCAGAAAAGGAAGAGGTGTCTTTTTCTCCGCTGACAGTAACCTCAATGCATAAAACAACCAGGAGACATTATGTATTAACTTAGAGACATGACTCACTTTTCACTCTGCTGTGGCAGCAGCTGCAATAGCTGTTTTCTCCAACACTGAATGCAAAAATGTTTGGTTGCGTGAAAAAATTTATTCAGTGCAATTAAGCCATTGTCAGGCTAATCCAAGGACTGACATTCTAATATTGCTCCACTTCACCACCTGACATACATCATTCTTTCTTTGTTGAATTTGATATGACAAAAATCTTGGGGCTACACACTGTACTTGTGCTGAGTGGTGCATGCCAGACTGGGGGCAGCAGCTCCATCTCGTTACTGCCGGCTACACCTGCAGCATTGTCATTTCTAATGTTAAAAAAACAACTGTGAGCACGAGAGAGAGAGAGAGAGAGAGCTCCTGTTTTACTGTGCCAGTTGTACGAGCAGTGGATCTGTAGGGATCATTAGAATACCACATGAAGACAGTGTGCTGACAAACACTATTGACATCATTACATTTTAACATGCTTGCAAGTCCATTGTTTGTGCTTGTGGCTGTTTGGTTATTTTGTGGCTTCAAACAAATGAAAGTTGGTGCGACACAGCTGCGGTTGTGTTTATGCGGATCACATGCTGCAGAGCTGCCCGAAGTGCTTGTCCTGTGCCTTTCTGCTTGCTCAGATCACATCCTGTAAATGCAAGTGCAAAGAGAAATGGATGTCACTAATGCATAAAATCCTGTATTTCCAACCCAAACACAATATTGATAACGGGCAATTATGCAAAACCAAAGATTACATTCAATGCCAATGTTTAAATAAATAATTTCTGCGATAACTGCACATGGCAACTATATGCAAAAGAGATGATAGGGAGACCCCTGTGTTGCAGTCTAAAAACAACACATTCAATTCTCTGATCTGCTCAGTAATTGCAGTTTCATACTGTTTGCTGCTGAACAGACTGGCTGTGGTAAGTGGAGGTTAAGCGCATCACTCAAGGGCAAGTAGATGGCGGTTGCAGAGGGAGGAAAGCATGCTACCCATTCAGCGAGGTCCAGATCTTTCCATCTGGTCTGGACATAAGCCTGCATTTTGAGGGATACTGGGGCTCCTGAGTGATATTTTATTCAACTAAAATGACCTTGTTTCCTGATGAAGTTAAGAGATTCAGTCAAGACACACACACACACACACACACACACACACACACACACCAGTGACACAAGTAGCTCATAAATACATATCGTAAAAAAACATCTCACACTTTGTACTTCACATGTCCTAAACATGTGGTCAAAAAAACCCTGATTTCAGCCAGAGTCTGTCCTTGACTTTGGCTCATTGTGTTTTTGCCTGTTTTATTTTCTTCCTCTATTTAAAGAGTTGACCTTACTCCTTCAATGAGAAGCTGTAGTGCTATTTGTGAATCTACACAAACACACACACATACAGTATATATATATCCACACAGACATCTTGATTGAGTGACAAGGTGAGGAAAAACTCAGACTGATGGATGTCATTTTCCATCATCACCTCTTCCCGCTTTCAGCTCTAATGTTTAAACTCGTCCTCCATTCGCCCTCTCCAACTTATATTCTGTTGCATTTCCTGCGATCTTTTATTTAGCTTCAATCTGTTTGTCCAATTCAGGGCCCGCCGTGGCCTATCCCAGCACACACGAAAGGTGATGGATAATATAGACTCACCAGTTGACCTGACCTCTACGTGTTTGGATTGTCTGAAGAAGCACCCAGAGGAATCGCACAGGGGAACATGCAGAAAGGCCTCAGGTTGTCAGTGGGTTTGAACTTAAGACCTCCTTGCTTGAGGCAACAGTGCTAGCCACCGTTTGAACCATTTCAGTAGAGATAAGACTATTTCTTGTTTACTTTTTTAGTGCAAGCGTGTGTTTATGTGACTGTGTTGATTTATGTGTGCAATGTACATAATTGCAATGTGACGTGCACCTGCATATTTCGTTTCGAGTCTTCCTACCACTCAAAGTGCTTTCCAATACATGTCACATTCACCCCATTCACACATATTCATACACTGGTGGCAGAGGCTACCATGGAAGGTGCCAAGTACTCATCAGAAACTGAAAGTAATACCTTCACACACACTCACACTATATTCATCATATTCATGCATGTACGTTGTTGTTAACTTTTGTTTAAAGAGAGTAGGGACTGATTCAAACTCACAACTTTTCAGTTATGACTTTGAACCACTCACAGTATGTCTTAATTATTCCACTGTTCCGGCCTTCTAATTATCTGTGAATAAGGTCAAATAGGTTTTCGAAAAACAACAGCTTTTTTAAACAAGTCATTCGATGAAATTACCTGTAAATAATCACTTGTGTGTGAGTGAAAGAAGCCACGTTTCATTATATTATTTTCTTTGGTTGCCTTTTTTCTATTTGTTTTAATAAAAATGGAAATCAAATATATGGTCGCTTAAAGAAACAGTTGCTAGGGAACTGTTTGGGTTGAAGTTTTTTAGGTTTATTTGTTTCCACATGTTGATATTTGAAATTGTAAAAAAAGGTCTGTGAAAGTTCACTGGTCTATTTCAGCACTGTCATCTGAATGATTTGGCTGTTGCTGGACCTTCAGATAACATGTATGGCCCTCCAGTGGATCTGTCGTTTAAAGACATCAGCCATGTTACAGGTAGTATTATATTCCTCTCATTTTTACAGTCTGTAGCTTTACACTAGGTGGTATTTTCGTTTTTTATTATTCCTTCTGGTATCCATAATATCCCTGCAGTTCTCTTAGCTCTTCTGTAATAACTCGTAAGTAAGCTTACATTTGTCATGGGAAGGTGTTATTTTTGCCCTCCCTGCATTTCTAGTTAATAAAAACCTTTTAACGTTAGTGGTGTGATCTTCCGTGACAAATCTGTCAGTTGTTTTCACGTGTCAAGTGCTGTGATGAAAGTAGTGTACTGACTGCAATGCACCACCTTAAACAAACTGATTTTGCAACATAGATATAAATGCAAATATATAAGAAAAACTGTACTGTGTATTTCTGATTCAGGTGCGTTGGCAGAAATGCCCCGAAGTGGCCTGCGGCCTTTAAACACAAACTCAAAGGGGAAGTACCTGAGCTGCTCCATGCGTCTCAGCAACAACAGCATCACTGACCTCACTGGCCTCCAGTACATTCTTAGCCACTTTTTGGCTCAACCGTTGAAGCTGGGCTGGCTGGACCTGTCCTTCAACAAAATCACATGCATAGACCCGGTGAGGTTTTCTCTCTTTCTTCTCTCATATGTTTGCATGTTTGCTTCTTCTGTTTCTTTGCTGTCTTTCTTTCTGTTTTTTTTCTTCCTTTTCTCTTTGCTTTTCAATCATTCTTTGTCTGCCAGCTTTTTAAAATGTAAACTTTTTATTTAATTTGTTTATCTATATTTATACTATATGATACTTACGTATACTCTACTTACTGTATTAGAATTTAAGTTTCTTTTCCAAGGAAACTGTCATTTATGAATTAACTGCAACTGATCATTAAACGTCTACCAGTGTTGATTTAATTACTTCAGCGTTGGGCATCAGCTCATACCTGCTTGTATTATTTAAGCATTTTCATGTTGTTAGATCTAAATTTGCAATTTAGCTGTGTGTGTGTGTGTGCTTCAGGGTTTTTGCGAGCTGCGTGAACTGCGTGTGTTGTACCTTCATGGCAATTGCATCTGGAACCTGTCAGAGGTAGACAAGCTGGGAGAGCTGCAGTATCTACACACCATCACCCTACACGGAAATGCCATAGAAACCCACAAAAGCTACAGGTGGAGACTTAATTTTCTTTCAATTTACACCGATTTTCTTCCCAACCTCACTTACTCACACATTCGGCTTGGCTGGTAGATGTTTGTCTGTAACATGCTATTATTTGCAGTCGTTGTTTTCGTCGCTCATATTACAGTACATATCCTGTTCCATCTGCCTAACAACTGATACACACACACACAAACACACACACAGAAAGAAGGTCACCCTTCATTGGTTCGATTGCATGCATTGAGCATCTTAATTTAATTTTTTACCTAATTTCATACTACAGTATCATTTATGTGAAATACCTGTGAAGTACTGGCAAGGTCAACTTTGTATTGACTGAAAGATATCTCCCATATTCAAGATTGAATTTGTATTTATTACAGGGATGTGCACATGTCCCTGGAGCCCCTGGATTTAAAGCTTATTTAGTGCTTGTGTTTGTGTGTGTTTAGGAGTCATGTGATTTCCGCCGTGCCTCAGTTGAAGACAATGGATTTCAGTGCCGTGACACGTGAGGAGCGGGTCTTGGCAAATGTTAAGCACCACTGCACCAACAGTGGTAAAAACACCACAGAGAATGTCCCATGACTGTTTACCAAGTCATTTATTTGATTCATTAATGTTTAACCCACTGTCAACACAGCTTTGAAATGAAATGTTTCCTATCCCGAAAATATAATATTCATCGTTTTTGACTCTGAATTTTTTAAATCTTCTTGAGTTGATGCGTTAAATAATGCCAGTAAAGCTTGCTGAAATTAAATTGCTGGTTATTTCTGGAGTCCAGAGGTTTCCCAAAGTCCCAGTTGCCAGCTAAATCTATCTCTGGCTGGCTACTTCAGTGTGCATAAATTACAGTATGAACTGACTGAATAAGATAATGATAAGGTAACTACAAAACTCTATTAGTATTGTTTGCAATAGAAAGGGTAGGATTATTCACAAACATATTTGACTTATGGTTGGAATATGAGAGTTTTGTGTGTTGTTCAACTGGTCATAAAATGTGACAGTGTTGGCCTGTTTTACAGATATTACTAATGTAAACAAGTAACTAACAGCACCAGATTACAATGGGGTCATACATTGTGCCTTTTAATGTGAGCCAGCCGTTCTGCTATTTTTACTGTAGTTTAATTTACTTTTATCCCAGCCCCCTTTTCAGTGTATACAACCTCTGTGTTTTGTTTATGTGTGCACTTTGGGAGTTCTAATTATTGTGGCAACAAGAGCACAATTATGGGTCACCTGAACTGAATCTGTAATATAAAAGCAATGTTTGCGTGTGTGTGTGTGTGTGCGTACTGTATGTAATGTGAATGGAGGATGGTTTGTTTACAGATACATGCACACACACACACACACACACACACAAATAACACAAATATGAATGTGATACATTCAGTTTACATTGTAAACAGCTTTAGGTATCTGCTATTAACGTCTGGTCTTGTTAGAGAAGAAATGTTAACCATAAATCAGGCCTGAGGCTGATTTAACTGGCTGCTCTCCAGGCTCTATTTGGTGCAGAATCATGTATCAGTGTTTCTCCCTGCAAAATCTTTAATTGGCGGGATGGAAATGCCCCTGAATCAGCATTTAGACCATGTGACACAAAAGCTGAACGCTGAAACCAATACTAATGAAATTTTTTGAAACTGAATTTAGTCCTAAACACTGAAATTGATGTGTGTCTAAAGTAATTCTCTGTGGCAGTATTTAGACCTCAGTTTCCTTTGAAACCTGTACTAACATGGCTCTTTTGAAACATCATTTAGACCATGTATTTCAAACTGTGCAATGAAGCCAATATCAATGAATATGCTTCAGTCAGGATGGCAGCTGCTCTCAGCAGGAAGGCCCACTTTGACTTTTACAGTGCTTAAGGAAGCACTTACATGCACTTTACAGATTTTGACTTTCATTGTTAACATTTCAGATGTGCTTTTCTATTTCAGTATGTATGTATATATATATATATTATTATTATTTTTTTCAACAAAGGATCTGATCATTGTTTTCTGGAAACAGGAGATAAAGACACACTCCTGTCTACATCAGTGGTGCTGAGGTAGAGCAGGTGAATAGTGTTACCTTCCCAGCTTTCTGCCCAGAACCGTAGTTGAGAACAGACTGGCGTTCAGTGATTACCTTAGTCGGGCTCGCAGCTGGTAACTAGCTTTAGCAACCCGGGCCACTCCGCCAGTCAAAAAGATGAATAAGACGTTGTTGCGGCGTTCGTCAGCAGGAACCTTATTTCTCCTTTACAGCAGTAATTCACACATTACACGGCTCGTCGGCACTTCACTAGAGATTGCTTAGTCAGTCTCACTCACTCAACAGTTACTACTTCCCCCAGCCACGTTAGTAGATAACCCACTTGTTTCTCTTCCTGTTTCCCACACTGCCGCTGTCCTTAAAGGGGCAGGACGGGTCACACTACCCCCACTCTGGATGATGATTAAACCCTTAACATCATTCCAGCACAGTCACATTATAAGGAAGAAAACATTAAAAAAAACTTCATCTATCTACACATTTCGAATAACCCCTACTTCCCACAGTCCTTGAATAGGTCCTTCTTCAGTGGAAGACAGCTTAAAGAGAAAGGCAATGTCTATACAACGTCAATGGACGCATATCACTTTTTTTTTTTTACAGTAATGCAACCAGTGCTCACAACACTACGTCTGCGTCAATACTGAAAGTATAGTGAGGGTGTTAGCCATTTAGCTGAAATCTGGCGGGATATTACTCTAAGGTGTAACATACTGCAGGAGTAAAACAAGTAAACCAACAAATAAACAAACCCAGCTTGCCAGTTTCAGTCAGTCACTCAAAACCCAACAACATCTTAACAGCTACTTAACGTGCCAGAGCATTAAAACAATAACTTGTGAACTATTAGTGCCCAGACTCCCTGTCATTATGGTTTCAACTAAACTTAACCTATAAGATGTGAACAGGATACATCTCAAACTTTCGATCAAATTACAACTTATAGCATTACAACTCTGGGCAACTGGGCAACGTTTTTTTTTTCCTCTGCAAAGGGCAGCCTGTACCCACGACATATGAAGTTCAATGTCCAACCCAGTCACCAAACCTGTCCGGTGCTCTGCGAACTGCGGGTCGGCCCACCTGCAGGGTGTTTGATCCCAGCCTCGCCAGGTTGAGGCTGGGCATGGGTGTCAGAAAACTGGCTGCTACCCGGCAAAGCTGGCGAGGAGGCTGGCAGCGAAGACTGGAAACCCTGGAGGTCCTCATCAGCAGTATCATCAGTATCCACTGAAGTATCCCCCAGGAGAAGGGGAACGATATCTGAGCCAGCAGGGGGTAACACCTCCTCACTGGGGCCCCCGGTGTCAGCATCTTGGAAAACCCAGCCATTGTCCAGCGGTGTCCTAGCATGGTAAGGTTCGAGCTTGTCGTGGTGAACTACCTTGGCCTTTGTCCTGGGGTTCTTTTGGATCCGGTATACTAAGTCGTCCAATAGGCCCACAATGAAGTAGGGACCTTCGTAGGATGGCAAGAATTTCCGTACTTTGTTTTTTACTCTCTTGGTACCTTTGATCAGATACCACACTGCATCCCCGACCTTGTGCTGGACTTGACAGATGTTTTTGTCATCTTTTAGCATGCTCAACAGATCTTCCCAGAGCCTCCCGCGCCAACTGGTGAGCAAGATCCACCTGTTCTCTGAGTTGGACGACATAATGTGGAGGAGTAGTAGCCTGGTTACTGTCTGGTGGCAAGCCAGCAACCAGGTCCACTGGCTCTGTTATCTCCCGCCCAAAAAGCATCATGTTCGGTGTCAGGCCCGTTGAGAGTGGCCACTCAGTGGGCTGTCGTGCATCTGTTCCATCAGGGAGCTGCGGTACAGGCGGGGCAGGAGTATCTGGGGATAGAACACTTTCCCTTCAGTGCAGTAGAATTTCCTTAACAGTATTCCATCTTTCAGGTAGAGCCTCTTCCACTGTTCCCAATAGGCTTTGGTGGCCGGGCTGCAGTGTGCTACGTTGGCCCACCGCGGTCGGTCTCCCATTTGGTCCATCCACTCCCTCACTGGTACTATGTCTGGGTCAGCCATCTGAGCACAGTCCAACTGCTCCTGGGTCCAGCCACTGAACAGGTCAGTCCTTGGAGAATCACTCACCCGGCAGATCTTTGGATGGGACAGGTCACCGCTGCTGCCACTGGACGGCTCCACTACCCCCACTGGAGGGAGCCTCGTGGAGGTTATCACAGCAGTTCCTTCAGCAGGGCCATCGGTCAGGTTACATTGCACCCCTTTATGGTGCTGTTGTTGATGGATGTCAGGCTCCAGCACGCTGCATGGGCACAGCTTACGACAGGGTCTTCTAGAGAGTGCGTCTGCATTTTGATGATGCCTCCCGGACGATGTAGCACCTGGAAGTCGTACTCTGCCAGTTTTTCAAACTAGCGGGCGAGCTGGCCTTCTGGCTCCCTCAGTTTAGTCAACCAGTGCAGACTGTACTTTATGTAATGTACTTAGTGAGGATGTGTGTGTCACACGGTTTTAAGGCAACGTACCTAGTTCAGATCAGCAACTGGTCTGCTTTCCTCCACCGGGAGGACCTCAGAGTGAAAATACTGCCTGGTCAGAGCAGATGAAGTCTCCCGTCCTCCGCTGTCACATGAGGTGGGGGATGAAACTCCTGCAGCACCGTAGACCCTGCCAACCTGGACGGAACCTTAGGGACATAGCCCGGACAGGATGGCTCTGACCGGGGAAAACTCCAAGCATTGAGGAGAAGCCGAAAGTGCCTGGAGATCCCCCACCCTACACAGAGAGGTGATAGCGAGGAGAAAGGCCATCTTAAGGGTCAGGTGCTTGGCCTCAGCCGACTCCAGGGGTTCGAAGGGGGCCTCAGCCAGTGCTTTGAGAACCACTGCCAGGTCCCAAGTGGGAACCCTGGAACGAGTCATGGGTCTCATCCTCCGGGCTCCACGGAGGAAGCGCACGACCAGTGGAAGCCTCCCCAGAGGCCCATCCCTCAGAGGGGCGTGGAACGCTGCCATGGCAGCCACATACACCTTGAGTGTGGATGGGGAAAGGCCAGCAGAGAAACGGTCCTGGAGGAACTCCAGTACCATAGTCACCGGGCAGGTAACTGGGTCCACCGCCCGTTCTCTACACCAGGTGGTACACACATTCCACTTCAGGCTGTACGTCCTTCTGGTGGACGGGGCTCTGGAACTGAGCAGCGTCTCAACTGTTCCCGCCGTCAGGCCCGCCTCAAGGAAATGGGCCCCCTCAGGGGCCAGACCCACAGTCTCCACAGGGCGGGGCAAAGGTGAAAGACCTGGCCCTCTGCCTGAAACAGCATGGCGGGCCCTTCAGGAGCGATATTATGTCCGAGAACCACACTCGGGCCGGCCAAAACGGGGCTACTAGCAGTAGGCTGACACCGTCCTGACGGACCCGCTCCAGAATCCCCGGGAGCACAGCGACTGGGGGAAAAGCATACAGACGACGCCTCGGCAACGTCTGCACCATGGCATCCAGCCCTAGCGGGGAGAACCACAGTGGACAGTGCGTAGTCTCTTGAGACGCAAACAGGTCCATGTCTATAGGGCCGAACCTTTCGCACAATAACTCCACCACCTCGGGGTGGAGTCTCCATTCCCCGGGCCTCAGCCCCTGTCTCGACAGCAGGTCTGCTCCCTGATTCTGGGTCCCCGGGATATACGTCGCTCTGAGAGACAGCAGTCTCTGCTGGGACCACAGAAGGATTTGATGTGCCAGCTTGCATAATGGGCGCGAGCGCAGACCCCCCTGGTGATTCAAATAGGCCACGCCCCACCCCGTGAGTGAGGCGTCTGTCAAAACGACATGACGCTCCCAACACGGGACCATGGGACAGGAACCAAGGTTTCCTCCATACTGACAGGGAACGAAGGCACCTGCTCGTAATCCATATCAGATGGAAAGGATTTCCCCTCGGAGAGAATCCCTCGGATTTTAACCACCACTGCAGGGCTCTCATGTGCAGCAGGCCAGATGGGATTACGCTGGACGCTGCCACCATGAGACCCAACACCCTCTGAAAGTGTTTCACAGTGATGGTGCGGCCTAGCTTCACTCTGGTCACTGAGGACAAAATGGACCCGAAGCGTGCAGGCGACAGGTGGGCCCGCATCGTCGTCGAGTCCCACACCACCCCTAGGAACGTAGTCCATTGGGCAGGTGTCAGCACGCTCTTCTTCGCGTTGAGCCGCAGCCCCAAATGCTGAAGGTGGGCGAGGACGACATCTCGATGCCGAACCGCTAACTCCCGAGACTGAGCCAAAATGAGCCAGTCGTCGATGTAGTTCAGTATGCGGACGCCTTGGAGCCTCATCGGGGCCAGAGCTGCATCCATGCATTTGGTAAAAGTGCGAGGGGAGAGTGCTAGGCCGAATGGAAGAACCCGATACTGGTACGCCGCGCCCCCGAAGGCGAACCTCAGGAACTTCCTGTGATAGGGACGGATGGAGATGTGGAAATATGTGTCTCGCAGATGTATCGTGACAAACCAATCCTCGGATTGGATGTGGCTGACGATGGTGGGGATGGTGAGCATCTTGAACCTGAATCTCTTCAGAGATTGGTTCAGGGACCGCAGATCTAAAATCAGACGCAATCCTCTGGCTTTTTTGGGAACTGTGAAGTACCGGCTGTAGAACCCGGACTCCCTGACTGGCGGGGAAATAAGTTCTATGGCCCCTTTCTCCAGCAGAGAGCAAACTTCTTGTCCCAACACCTGGCTCTGCTCCGAGTGCACCGCAGTCCAGACCACCCCGTTGAATCTGGGGGGGGGCGGACCCGGAACTGCAGCCTATAGCCATCCACTACGGTGCGCAGGGCCCATGGGGAAATGTTTTCAAGGCTCCGCCATGCCCCTCGGGGCTGGTGGCCGGTGTTATGCGTAGGAAAAAACGCAGATAACCCGCGGTGTGTGAGCCAGAGCGCCTCCCGACTGCGGGCCCTCGGGGCAGGCAGAACGGCGCGTGCTCGCTGGAGGCTAGCGCGTCCCGAGCGCTGACACGGCGGGATAGCAGCACCTGCTGCCTGAGCTGTCAGGAGGGAGGGGACCTCGATCGCCCTCTCTCGGGGGGGGGGGGGGGACCGTCTCTCTCTGCAGCCGTCGCCATCCTGGGCCCAGACCGGTGCGGGAGATACTGCTGGAATGCCTCCCCTTGCGTCCTGGCATGCTGAAACCTGCTGACGACGGCGTCCACCGCCTCGCCAAACAGGCCAGAGGTCACGACCGGTGCGTCGAGCAGGAAGGTCTTCTCCCTCTCCTGGAAGCCCGACAGGTTGAGCCACAGGTGCCGCTCCGTGGCCACCAGCGCGGACATAGAGCGGCCAATGGCGCGGGCCGT